GAGAGAGAGAGAGAGAGAGAGAGAGAGAGAGAGAGAGAGAGAGAGAGAGAGTAACGCGCTTTAATGGACTCGATCCCCACAGCCCTCGAATAACTTCGCTAATTGACGCCATCGATCACGCGTGAAAGGTTTAAGCCATGGGCGCCTCTTTCGCCAATTACGATTTTAATTCGTAACTACTCTTATTCACCACCAGCTCCTATTCACTACTGTAATTTGATTAAAAAGGCCGGAATTTCTCTAACGAGACACGCAACGTCGCTTCAATGTGCATCGAGCGCATCCAACCTTTATTCGTCGCGAGCCAATGATTCTCCCAATATCATCTCGCGTTCAAGTATACTTACGATCCTCACAAACGCGATATTCATCATTAAAACTAATTCGCCTCGTATGAATAATTAAATCATATCCTTCAGCGATCAAAACAGCAGCTTCGATGACGACTCATCATTGCACAGATTTCTCCGACGCGCTTGTTGAAGAGAGAAATGTTTGGCGAGCAAAAGAAAACGAACTATACTTACCTCGCAATTTATGGGTGAAATCGTGTAGTGTAATTGGGAAATGTTATAATTTTATGTAGAATGTTAAGAGGTTCACCTTCCACTACGCCCCACGGATATTGTCGGCCGCGAACTTTTCTCCCAGCTACTTCCAACACCGTCGAACTGCCGACAACCGCGAACGGTATACACGCTTTCAGTTCTTTGTCCTGTTGCTTAAATTCCTCGTCCTCGTCGCTGTCGCAATCCGGAAATTGGTATATCTGTGTGAAAATGCAAGAAATTATGCTCGTTTACCTTCCTATACATAGCATAAATGTTCAATATTCTAAGAACATTCTAAGAATATTCGAATGAATTGTGTCGCGGGGAGGACGAACGATATTAGGAGATTCCTGTGATGCGATTCTGTAACTCGTTAACGACAGTTTCATTATTGCTGTGCAGCTTTTTCATATCATAGAAAAGCTGCGCAACGATAACGAGACTGTTGTTAATTGCGATAACGAGTTACAGAATCGTATGATTGGATCGAAATTTCAGTTCTATCTTCGACCTTTTATCTTGCTCACATCTGTATATTCTGAAGAATCAGTGTATGTTTGATACACATGGAAACTGAAGTTTTATTTAGCTCTAAATGGCAGAATATACATAAAAATTAAAGGTTCTAAAAAGGACAAAACTGATAGAATAAATAGAGTCAAAAGAGGTCGATGTAAGCTTCGGAATATTAAAGTAGACGTTAAGTTAACATTGAGGCCGAGAATAGAATCAAAATTTCGATTCGGGTTATTACGGAGTTTACGTTACTTTGGGTGAAGCAAAAGATAAGCTCTCAAAACGATGAAAACTATATTCTCGGGAGGATTTCTTTTTTGGTACATTACCTGAATCTCGTGTTCCTCGATATCCGCCAAGATGCGTTCCTTCAGCTTCTTCACTTCGTGAACGGTTAAAGTGTCCGCTTTTGCTATTACGGGAACTACGTTTACTTTCCGATGTAAGCGCCTTAATACCTCGAGATCGATTTGCCGGAGGCTGTGAAGAAATAGACTTGATATTAGAATTATAAATTAATCAACTTTAGTTATCGGGGTTGAGTTTAGCCTCGTCGCAATTACGACAAAGTGTCTTTGACGCTCAATTTCTCGCATACCCATGACCATACGGTGGGATGAAATACAGGCAACAGTGCACTCTGTTATCTTGGATATTCTTCCTGTTTAATCCGCTTTCGTCCGTAAAATACTGGCGGAATTGCTCGTCGATGTAAGCCAAGCACGCTTTCCACGTGTCCTCACAATTTACCGCGTCGCCGAATCCTTGAACAATATATCGTCGCTTAGAGAATTGTTTTATAGAATCAGTATGTTTACGTACTTACTTTTATTGGCAGGGTTATTTTTAATTATCTTAATCGATCTTATCAAAACATTTTTACAAAATTGAAAGTTCCTTATTCACAAAAATATTTTCTAAATTAATTCAAGGTACTATGTGGTATCAGATATATATACAAGGTTGTCTTAGACTCTCCTTCGCAATTTTTGTGAGAACGTAGAACGGATTGAGGTGAACATAAAAGTCCTATACGTAATATTAGGAAAAAGGATTAAGGAAAAATCGCGCGCTAAATGATCGAAAAGCGAGAAGATAAAAATTGTTGCACGATTGAAATAAAAAGATATATCACGATAAAATGATACTTGCAATCGATCAACCAGACAAAATAATTTGACATTTTTCTTTTTTTGAAACAATCAATAAATAACCGTAAAATTAGCGTGACATGCAAACTTTCTTTCTTAACTAACCTTCTCTCATGATTTTGTCACGTTAATTTGACGGCTATTTATTGATTGTTGGAGCAAAAGGGAGATGTTCGGATTTTGCGAGCCCGTTCGATCAATTGCAAATGCTATTTTTTAAGTGTTATTTTATTTCGACATATTTTGCAAATGTTTTTAACGTATATTTTCCAACGTCGCAAGTAAAAATGGTCGCGGCGAGGCTTCAAGTAGACAAAAGAAAAAAATTGCCGTTGCATTTCTCACCTGGCGTATCCACGATCGTCAAACGGAGCCGCACGCCGCGCTCCTCTATATCCATTGTCTTCTTCTCGATAGAGGTAGTCTTAACCACGCGCTCTAAAATTGGACGATGAATATTTATCGACTGCTACACAACGGATATTGGAACGAGCGGTTTACCAGCGGCACGAGCTGCTCAAATATTTTCCACGAGTCAATATCTCATAGGGGAAGAGAAAGGCAAAAGACATGCGGAAAATGTTAGAGCAGCGATATCTTCTGGTTCCACGTCTACCGTGAAATAACGTCATAATTAACTCCGACTGATCGCGTGACAATTAATCACGTAGCATCTGTGTGCGATCGAAAAGAAATTCCGTCTTTTCCCCGGCAAGAGAGGTAATTTTTATTCATTCACACTCTCTTTCGCAGCATCGTTATGAGTTGTCGAATTGATCGAGTAAATTACGTACCCGCCGCATCCGGAATTCGCCGGTCTTTATACAGGTCTCCGAGGAAGAGACTGTTAATGAGCGTCGACTTCCCGAGACCGGTTTCACCCAATACCATCAGGGTGAACTCGAAGCCCCTCTTCACCGATTTTCTGTGCACTTGCTCTGGCAGTGTCGCGAATCCGATATAATCCCTGTCTTACTGAGTCAAACAAAAGGTCGTTAATATCGTGATATATCGTTATCATCAGTTAAATCTCTCTCTTTCTCTCTTCTCCCCTTCTTCTCACCCTTGGAGAGAAACGAGCGCGTTCGCAGGAAACAATGAGCTCCACACGTAGCGACAGGTATTCGCACAGACGCGACAATTCGCGTCAGCGACGTGGAATTGCAGGTATCGCGATCGCGTTTCGTTCAAAGGTACCGTCGGCTCACGTTTCCACGATACATACTCGTGTCAATAAATAGCGTGGCCCTTCCCTGCATAATTCACGTCGTGACGGGGCTAGCCGGCACCTCGAAACGCGGTGACTCGGCGGAAACGATTTCTCGGTTCCATCGAGCGGGTGCACGTGGAAGAGAAAAAAAAACGGAGAGGAAGAGCAGGGAGGGAGGGAGGGAGGGAGGAAGAGGAAGAAAGAAAGAGAAAGAGAGAGAAATTATCATTTTTTAAGAAAAATCTCACGTACCACCGGACATGACAGCAGCATCTAAGGACGTTTCGGTGTGACGAGCATAACAGCAACCAGACGTCGGCCAAACACTAGAGCCGAGGGTGGCTCGCTTGTGAAAGCTTCTCTTCGTTCGGTCGACTTGCGCTGGCGCACTGTCGACCGGCCGATCAATAGTTCGTGCTCCTACGGTGCGTTCGAGGCTGCACGCCGAAGAGGTTAAACGCGAACCGTGCGGCAGGCCGGCGCGCATGGCGTGTGCGGAATAAATAGCTACGTTATCAGTGCTGTCGGTCTCTAACGGTTATAGACGGAAGGAACGGAAATGATTGCTCGACACACACTGTGTCGACGGACGAGACGCGATGTTACAGCGCAACGCCGATTGATTAGGTCGCGCGCACTGCGAGCGCGTGCACTGCCGGGGAAAAAGGAAAAAGAGAGAAGGAAAGATTATCACCGGTGACGCCTCTTGACGTCACGGCGCACACGCCGGTATCGAATCGGTGGTAGGGGGTGGCAGTGGGTAGAGCGTAGGGGAGTTTTTTCTCTTCTCACATTTTGCAGAAAAATGTAAACCGAGAGAAACCTGGGTTAACGTTGGTCAGCGGTGACCGGTCGTTAACGCTTCGAGCAGCTTGAACGATGTTTTCAATGTAACAGCTCCATGTCGACAGGTGTACGAGCTGTACGCGAGAGATGATTTTAATAACTCGAAGGAGAGGAGGAAGGAAAGTAAGGGGTTATTAATGCTTGGCACACGGGAACCTCGGTGAGAATATGACGAGTGTGTCCGGATTTATTAGATTTACCAGCAATCGCGCCGGTAATTGTCATAATGAGCGGTAAAAGCGCTCGATGACGTGGGATTTATCACATTTGTCGCGTTTCTTTGATCGTAATTTCGATTAATTGGCAGTTATTGCGCAGTGCGCGCAATTGTCCGGCATTATTATTGATATTGCAGCGCAAGGACCGTTCGCGAAATTACACAGGAAAAACAGCTCGGCTAACTTGATGGCACTAAAACGCGAGTGCGAAAAACTCGCTGACGAGAAATAATATCTCTGTTACTGTGACAGAAAACATTCGTTTGAACATTCAGCTGCATTAAAACTCGGTTGAGATAACTGAGAGCAATTGGCCGGGCAGTAATTCCTCCTGCAGGAATCTTTCTGTTCCCACGACCGGCTTTTTCGTCTGATGTAATAGGAAATTCGGTTAAACTAACGGAATTGTTTTTTTTTTTCCGTGTAAGAGTCGCTGCCGACATCGGTATTAATCGCAGGTCATCTGATAGACAAGAAAAATAAAAAAGAAAACACTTGATTTATTTATTGGGAAATTGAGCAACAATTTGAGGCAACAATTTGAGACAATAATTTGAGGTATCAAAACAGATATAATCGTTTGGAGATCGCCCGCTCCACGAGATTGCTTCACTGTCGGACGTGATTTTTTATACACGCCATCACGTCGTCAACGTCGTCCTTAGAGCCCAAGAAAATGGGCGATCTCTGATGAATGCTCTCCGGCACGATGTCCAGAATATCAATTTTGCCGTTTGTCGCGAGACCACCGGCTTTCTTGATTATAAACGCCATCGGTATGCACTCGTACAGTAGTCGCAGCTGAAATGCGAGAGTCACGTTGGCATTAGTTGTGACGATAATCGTTACAGCGGTCATACGCATTTGTTGCGCGGATGCGAACGTAAAATTTCGCCGCGCGAATAAAGTATGCTTTATCGAAGCACGGCGGGAGATGTTGCGCTCACATGCGATGTATGTAAGCGCGCGAAATGAAATTTAACTTAATTATTAGTAAATGGATTCTCGGGTACTGACCCCTCCCGATATCGGTGTTTTGATACTGTGAGGCGCAACTACACCGCCACGTTTATTGAATTGAATAACGTGCCGAGTCCGATAATTTAGCCAGTGTTTACGGCAAAAATCAACGGTGCTCAGGGCCGTTCTGCTAAATACGACGTCCAATATTTATTCATCGTTTAGTTAAAATAATTCGCCAAGTCCGACACGTTTCCACGTAATTATTGGATAAACGATAGCGCAAACATCCTACCATAGGGAGCAAAGTCGATACAAAAAGTTACTTCATTACGCAATGCCTGTCTGTGGCGATAAGCGCTCTCTGGCGGGCGCGCAAGATCAAAGTGTTTGGCAATAGTTGAAGCGAAGATAAAGATAAGAGGAACAGAATAAGTGCGAAAGGCGATAAAGAAGGTAAACGGAAGATAGCGCGAGCGGATATTTTGCAATACTTGCGCAAGGTTTATTATCGTTCGTATCTCGCTCGAGTTCTGTTTTTCTTCCATTGCATCGTAAGGAACGCCTGTTTCGTTAAGTTCACGCGAGTCATCGCGATACGAGTGACACGCGAAATTACCTTGCCATTGGGATTGCTCTTGGTTGCGGGATACAAGAAGATACCGCCATATTTAATCGTCCGGTGCACGTCGGCGACCATGGAGCCCACGTATCTGGCGCTATATGGCTTTCCGCTCACGGGATATTTCTTCGTGCGTATATATTCCTTAATACAGGGGTCCCAGGCACCCTCGTGGCCTTCGTTAATACTATAAATAACGAGATCGTACGTGATTTCAATGCAATCGGCGGGCACGGATCGTCGCGAGCGAGATGAAAATCTAATGCTAATAACTTCTTTTTTTCCTCTTTCGTAAGAAGAATATTTTGCACTGTTTTTCTATTTGGTTATATAGAATTGCGAACGTGAGGACATTTTTTTCACCTATTCCTTTCACTTGTATGTACACGCAAAAAAACTAGCTTCCAGAACTAAAAAAATAGCTGTGGCAGATAAGATGTGTCACTGAAATAGGGACAGCTAATGTCGATGCTATCGAAGCTAAATTTATTCGTTGTTTAAATTTAGGCGTTACAGCGAGAAATATTAGCTGCTAGAAATAAATGACTGTAACAAATGATTGTAGCTGTACGGCAAACTTCTTTAATATATGCATACGATAAAAAATTTAGGAATAACTGCCATTTTCTTAGCTACTTGAAATAATGTGCATTTTTAATGTCACCTAATATATTTGTATTTCATAGCGAATGCACTTTAGCTGTCATAGCCAATTCTTAGCAGTGACAGCTAAACGATTAGTCTTTTGACTAAGTTTGAATCAGCTACCGCGGTTTAGCTGATATTACTAAGTTATTTTTTTGCGTGTAAAGATAGAGTCTTCAAATTATAATTAAAATACTGTTCGTCATTTGAAGAGAAGAAGTGAGTGAGTAAGCTGCAGCGTACTTTGTCATTTCAGTCTTAGAACTTCTCTCGCTCTCTCTCTCTCTCTCCCCCTCCCACTCACGTCATCTCTAAAAATGGCGTACAGAATGCAGACCAACGTCGATGCGATTTTTTCGAAGCACCGCGACATTTTTTCGAAACTTTGTTCCTCCAATGCGAATATATAATCAACGGTAGCTCGCGGTAGCGAGAGATGCCCGGTGCATCGAGTATTGTATCCCCTTGGCTTCTTTCTCGTACCTATATATATCGCCCCTGGCAGGCAGACGCATGTTCCTCTCGGTCAGTATAAATTCCCCGATGGCCGGATCGTACGTGAATCCGTTAACACCGTGACCGATGGAGAGCACTATCATGGTCGCCGAGCCGTAAAGAGCGTATCCCGCTGCGACCAGGTTGCGTCCCGGTTGAAGGGCTGCTTGGACCGTGCCGGATTCCCCGGATTGTTCGGCTTTTTTGTAAATTCCGAATATCGAGCCCACCGAAACGAGGCAGTCGATGTTGGACGAGCCATCGAGCGGGTCGAAGCACACGATGTACTTGCCGCGTTTCTCCGTCTCCACCTCGATGGCGTGCTGGTTCTCCTCGCTCACGAGGACACACGTGGTGAAAGAGGACGTCAGCATGTTGATGAAGAGCTCGTTGCTCAGAACGTCCAGCTTCTTGACTTCCTCGCCTTGGACGTTGGTATTGCCGGCGATACCGTACCTGAGCAATGAAATCAGAATGCGTCGTGTTTGCGCTTCGGCACGGCCGATTAGTATTCCCGAGCACGTGTCATAGAATCAATTGGAGTAGTTGTAACATTTCAGTTAAAGGTAATAATAGTGCGATCGATAACGGCGAGGCCGATGACGGTTGTAAAATCACTCGAAACGGCAACTGGTGAATTTAATACGCGCGTGCGGTTACATCTTTTTGAGAAATAATGTCTATCCTTAACTATTCTTCTCGAAAACATGATAACTTTTTAATCGTGATTGCGACCTTTGACATTTAACACGTGTCGGATTTTTTGAGATAAAGGCCATTTAATTGGAAATTCGACGGGGAGGAGCGCGTACTACGCGATTGTTTTATTCATATTGACGCAGTAAGCATTAGGCGCTGCCATAATGGGAGAATCGTTTATATGTTATTTACATGCGGGATTACAGAATTGTCAGGGCAGGGAGATAAATGTTTTACTGCCTGCTGTGAATTGGCGGCTCGAGCGCGACGGTAAATACACGAGAATATGCAGCTGCAGAATACATTTGAATAAAATAGAGACGCGCACAGGGGCAAATGTTAGCTGGCGTTACGGCGCTACGGAGACTTTGCACATGCACTATACAAGATGTTAGTCGTCGGAGCTTCCTCGGCTGCTCGCTAAATTTCGAGCTTGTCACGTCCGGCGAAAGTACACAATAAGAAGTGTGTTTTTCGCACACGGCTACACGGTTATATGCATGTATATATGTGTGTGTATAAAAACTTCCCACTTATACTTAGTCGTATAAAATATTAAGCAACTTTGGATATTCCAACAATGAGAGCCAACATACTCTTGGGAGATGTTCGGATAATTTCTAATAGAAAATCGGCTCTATTTAAAGTGACACAGTTTCTCACAAGTAACGACGCAAAGGCGAAACGACGTTCTCGCAAATCCGTGTCTCATATAAATCGAAATACTAGGAGATTACGAGTCACTTGGAGCGTCCCCCGGTCGCGTGTATTCTTCCCTCGACTGCGCGAGATGTGCAAAGTATTGAATCGCACGTGTTCCACGTGGCATGCCTGTTTATATCACATAGACTTGTATACATAGACTGAGTGTTCTACACAAAAGACTGTGGAGACTTGAACAGAGAAATATGCTCTGTCAGTGCAGATAGAGAGTCTCATAAGGGGAGAGTGGTAAACTTGATCACGCAAATCTTTGGTCTCAGAGTACCTTGTATAAATATATTGATACATAAAAATAGGGTAAGAAAAGCTATGTTAAAATTGAGGTTGCTTCATCGCGCTAACAGATCAGAAGAGATCTTTTTTTCAAACATCAAGTTTACAAATATGTATCTTTTCCGATAGACTAACATCAACAACATATTGTTTACGGAAACCCGAATATGAGGAAGCTTTTCGTACTTATTCCTATACTTGTATGGAGAGTTTCTTAAGTCAATGTTAGGATACTATCCGCCATTTGTAGTGAAGATGTGAGTGAGTGAGGAAGAAGCTGCAGAGTGCTTTATTATTTCAGTCTTAGAACTTCTCTCACTTCTACTCACGTTATTCCCAAAAATGGCGGACAGGATGCAGATTCAATCAGGAATCATTATACTTTGCCCTAACTTTGATTAGAGGAACTCAATTTGTATCTACACAAGGGACTTTGGCGTCTGGGACCCATCATGCGAGATTCGGTCACGTGATCGAGTTTGCCACCCTTTCGCTATGAGACTTTCTAAGTACAGCCTTTCGATCTTCGTCTGGCTTGACTCCGACTTATTGGACATTCCGTCTAGCTTTCTCCGATAAGAATCAAGTTATACAAAGATGGAATGTCTGTAGACAGTGAAAGGGGAATATAGTTGTCCTACAAATCTTGTCTTCAAGTCTCTTATAAGAATTCGCAGCTCATGGCTTTTATTCTGAACTCTCTTTCATCGATAAGACAATTTCTAAATATGACTTATAAACCTTCTGGTTCGCTTATAAGCATATATTTACACGTTTTTACACTGTGAGAGAAAAAATATCTAAAAAATAAAACGGTTTATTCGGTGAGTACTAACAACAAGTTTATTTAAATTAATATTTTTTTTCATTTAAACAAACAGTTACTTTCATGAAAAGTTAAGACTAAAATCTTAAGAAAACGTATATTTTCTATATTGATAAAATATTGATAAAATAAATGAATGTATATTTTCTATATTGATAAAGTATTGATAAAATATTTTGTATATTACTACAGTAAATATGTTATTAATACCTACCGAATAAATATTTTTGATTTCTCAGATATCTTCTCTCACAAGTATACATACACCAGACTCCACTAATGCGCTTCTATCTCGAAAAATCGAAATATCGAATCGTCCAGTCAAGCGCAACAAATTTAAATATTCATGCATCATGACTATGAACCATTCGAGGAATTGGCAACGCAGCAAAGCAGCGATCTACCACCATATAGAAAATCATCGGCCGTATGACTTTATTATGCTAAAAGTAATTTAAATATTATTTCTACAGCCAGAACTAATTTCGATATTTACGACGTAGTGGCCTCCTTCTGCTGCTTCTCTGCTGCCTCTGTTCATATCTCTGTCTCATATCACTTTGAAACATCTCTTTACTAAACTAGATTATTAATCCATCGCTCGTTCATATTTCGCGTTACATAGGTTAATGTAACGCTGTCATATCGACATATGGTGATCGCTGCTTTGGAAAAACGTTGCTTATTCCTCGAATGACCTACAGTAATGTTGCACGAATATTTGTTGCACCTTACTGGGCGATTCGACATCTTGATTTTTCGAGATAAAATTGCACTAATGGGGTCTGGTGTACCAACGTCGATTAATCCTTAAGTTAAGATAACCTAACCTAACCTAACTCGAGTTTAAGTCTGTCTGAATAGAGTTTAAACTCACATTAAGGTTAAGTGACGTTGGTAGGAACGGGCATTAAAGGCACTTTTATCGATAAAAGATAGTTCAGAGAGTAAGGATATATACCTAAGTATATATAAGTCTATGGTTTATAGAGTTACGGAAAGAAAAAACATTTAGTTGGATCGACCAAATTTCTGATGAAATATGAGCGAGCCAGGAAATTCCGGTTGAACTTGGCAGAATTCCGTTGAAATTAACCAGAAATCTTGTTAAATCGAACAGCATTCTGGTGGATTCAGTCGGAATTTCTTGATTCGTTCATATTTCAGCGGAAATTTGGTTAAACCGGTCAAACTGTTTTCCTCGTGTGGACGCCAACGATAGGCGTCCAATTCGGGAGGGAACGCCACGACATCTACTCACATGTTGGCAATGCCGGCCTTCCTCACGGCCGAGCTGACGGCCTTCACGGCGGTTTGTATGCTGTTGAGCAGCTGGCTGAGGTCGCCGGTCGCGGTCGGTACTTTACGCTGCTCCGCCAACACGAATCTCGTAAGGGTCATACAGTCTGAGTCTAGCATCGTGCTTTTCGCCGCCATCGTGACACGAGAACATGAACCGAGAACGCGAGGAACGTGGCGTGCCGAGGAGCAAACGAGGGAAGACTGAGGACCGGTCGTGATGACGCGCCGCGTTATATAAGATCGCCAACAACTAGTTGGCGCGCGTTATCGCACAAGTGAAAGCGTGGCATTAGTATCGGGTTCCCGTGCACTCGTCGGCTCCTATGGGTGATACTATTTTGTGATACGCGCGCGACCGTTGGAACGCCGGAGATACGGTCCTTAGTCGCGCGCGACACAATCGATAGTATATATCGCTATGAAGAGCGTGTTAAGTGGCACGATATCATCGGCATACCAGATGCTTCACTTGACTGTTATTACTTATCGGCCGATCACTTCCGTAAATATACACTAGGCTCGATAGTGGAGCGTTCCTTAATCAGTTCCGCGAGTCAATTTTCAGACGGTCGGCGATTACATCCCGCGATATCGACCTCTACACACAGTTTATTTTCTCATCCGACGGGTCGATCGTTTCACCGGTTAAATTCGCTGGCGTGATATTCGTAATGCAGGGTTTTTTTTTGCCGAATCGGATACAGCCAGCTGCGCCGCACAAGTTGATTAAAGGGATGTTGAAGTCGATGACGAACTCCAAAAACGTCGATAATGCAGAGACGATTAGTCGCTAAACAATCACGCTATACTTTTCGTATTTCTTGTTCGTATTTCTTGTTCGACTTTATTGATGCAGTCTCTTCTCGAAAAATCGAGATATCGAATTATCTAGTCAGGTGCAACAAATCTAAATATTCGTGCATCATGACTATAGACCATTCGAAGAATCAGCTATGTTGCTCCAAACCAGCGATCTGTCACGACGTGGAGGATCAATCATTGTTTTATGTTGAAGGTAATTTTATACAAATATTATTTCTACACCCAGACCTAATTTCGATATTTACAACGTTCATATTTCACGTTATATAAGTTAATGTAAAGCTGTCAAACCGACAGATATAGTGACAGATCGCTGCTTTGGAGCAGCGTTGCGATCGTCTGAAAATTGATTCATGGAACTGATTAAGGAACGTTCCACTATTGAGCCTAATGTATTTACTTACAGAAGTGATCGGCCGATGAATAATAACAGTCAAGTGAAGCATCCGGTGTGTCGATGATATGTCGGTTTGACAGTTTTACATTGACCTATGTAACGCGAAATATGAACAAGCAACGGATTGGTAGTCTAGTTTAGTAAAGAGATATTTCAAAATTATATGAATGGTGAAATGGAGACAGAGAAGAGAGCAACAGGAGGAGGCTACCACGTCGTAAATACCGAAATTAGCTCTGGGTGTAGAAATAATATTTGTGTAAAATTACCGTTAGCATAGACGGTGGATTCTCTATATGGTGATAGATCGCTGCTTTGGAACAGCGTTGCCGATTCCTCGAATGGTCCATAGTCATGATGCACCAATATTTAGATTTGTTGCGCATGACTGATATCTCGAGTTTTCGAGATGGGTCTGCATTAAAGAAGTCTGTATACACAGAATTTATATAAATATGTGTTGCTTTATTTTGTCATATTTACAGCGATAAACCTAACCACACATGATTAGAAATCTTTCTGCAAACATTTTGTATATTTTTAAGCTTCTGAATTCAGATGCGAAGATACAGTAATGTTGTCCGAAATTTTTCTGTTTGGGGCATCCTCCATATCGATATCTTTCGATATCTACAAGATGCGAGATTTTTGGGTTAAGCAAATATTACGCTGATAGCTTCACAATTTACATTAAATCATTTTTTTTTGTTTTCGTTACATATGGAGCAGTGTATTTATTTTTATTTTTTACTCCTATTTATTTTTGCACGTACTTTTATTGCATAAAAACATTTGTAATTCTGTACAACTAATACAACGTAAACTTTGCAGAAAAATGTCAGTATTTTGTCGATAAAATTTCAGCATCTCCTTAAGATACGTTTAAAGGGAGTATGCATAATTGCTCTCGCTCCCAAAAAGGAAACTCTCTCGCGGCAACTGGCGCAATTAATGCGTGAATTTTCCCTGGTTTTTTTCGCACGCAGTTTTTATGCCGCCGTTGATTTCGCGTTGCGTTTCGCTTCACAATCGGTCGCACATTCCGGCTCGCACATTATTCTCCCCGCACGTTGTTTTTCCGCACGTATGTTTGCATTTCCGCAGGCGCGTGTTAATACGCCCCGTTCCGCGCCGCAATATCGTCGCAATATCGCCGCTATAGCGATCGGTGAGCATAGGACCCGTTGAAAAATCTATGCTCGCACATGCACGCGACGCGCGTATGTATATCGCCGTTGTGGATGGGTATCGAGGTCACGTAAACGGAACTGGGTCGCATTAAGATTCGTTTTGCCGATTATGCATTATCGCACCGCGCGGAAACATGACGCGTCGCGCGCGCGTCATCCACGCCATAACGTAAAACGATCGTAGTTTTCACGCGACACGTGCAAATATTTTCTTTTTCATAAATCTGTTTTCATAAACCCGTGTACACAACGTGCCGGGGAAGCGTGTCTCGCAGAGTTTCAACGCATTTATCGATATCGTGTCCGTATTGCGCGCTTAATTCCGTCTCTGATTGACTTCTGAGCCGAGTTTCGAGACAGATCAGCGCGTAGGTAGTCGAGAAACTTTGTTGTGAATGCCGTTATTGTGTTACGCTCCGTGCAATTAAACTAAATGGCACGTGACGAAATTAGCGTCGTAACAACGTTCGATCGATGAGAGAGAGAGAGAGAGAGAGAGGGGGGGGGAGGAGA